CCCCGAACGCGCCCGGTCCCATCTGATCCCGGCCGCCGGGCAGGGTCTGGCCGGGTTAGTACTTGGGCGGGAGTAGCCGGCCGAAGAGTCGGTAGTAACAGAGGTGCCTGGTATTACCGGGGGCACTTAGTGATGCTCCTTGTCCGCCCGTGTCACGCTTCGTTCTGAAGTCAGCGGGCTTTACACCCAGGCGCTCCTGGGAAGGGTCGGGCAGCCCCTGGGTCTGTGCTGACGGGGTCTCCGTGTTCCCAGCACGTTCCGCCAGCCTTGTTCACGGAGCCCAACGAAGTAGCGCCGTACCTGCCGGTCAAGGAGGCCGTCTGCGAGAAGCTCGCATTTCCGGAAAGAATTGATCACAGCCCCGCGGGCTCACAAGAAAATGCACCTGTGGAATAGGACGGGGCGTACCACAAGCTCGCCGTGGGATCTGACGGAGACCTTGGCTACGTGGACAGGGTATTTTCATTAGGAGAATTAATTGCCTTGTCTATGTGCAGATTTTCAGTAGCCTGAAATGAAAAAAATAAAAAATACTGTAGGCAGGTTCCTGTTTGTACTATCTGTCCTCAAATTCATATTCCAGATTTATGTTTCCTGGAATTAAACTCGGATTTCTAAGTTGTCACAACGTGGGCCGTCACTAGGAGTGACGTGTGTATGTCTCAGGAGCAGGGGGCGTGATCTGTACCCTTCACGAAACACTGTTTTCCCCCGGGAGGAGGTCGGCGTAAATCCCCGGGTCGCACCCCTGCAAATCTGGCGGGCGTGCCGAGCCTGCACGCTGCTGTGCTGGCCTCGCACCCTGGGCTGGTGGCGTTGCTTCGCACTTCCGGGGAGTTGTGATTCGCCCCTTAGGAAACTGACCTCATATTTTAATAACCTTCACCCAGAAATTAAAAAAAGATATATTTCCCCCTAAATTTAAATTGGCTCTTTCAGACGTAGAACCAGATAACCTAGTTTTCCGCAAACGTAAGCTGTCGTGTCCACGAAGCACGCAGACGTGGTTGGGCCCCCTGCCCAGCGCGTGGAGCGGCCAGTCCTCCGGCCTAGGTGCTATTTCTGACCTGCTTCTCCTCGTCCTGCCATTTTTCACTCCATCTTCCACGCGGCCTCGGAGTGAGTGAACGCCCTGAGCATTAAGTTGGTATTGGCCCTAAAAAGTTTGAAGAGTTCATACGGATTGTTTTTAGCACACAGTACAAATATTACATCAACCCTAAATAACCACATTAATTTTCGGCTTAACATAGTTGAGAGGTAGCCATGGAGGAGGTGGGGGAGCTTATTTTTAAATATAAAAGCCAGTTTTTTCAATTTTAACATTCATGTTGTTAACATTACAGGGACTCCAGTAAGATGTCATTAGTATGAGGCCTGGGTAGACCAGAAGTGAATTTAAAATCAGTTTGGTTCTTTTGATGACAACCCTTTAAACATTTTTTATTCTTTTCTGCCTTTCTGAATGATCTTTGTGACGTGGAAAGTGACTGTTAAGCACCAAGTAAGGAATCACTTGAAATGGATTTTTAAAACTAATTATCCCCTTTGTCTTGATTTAAAATAACTATTGTACATATTTCCACTTGATGGATAAATCATTAAATAAGAATATTTAAAAAGAAGTATTAGCAAAGCTCTTCAGGTATTACCCTGATGAAATGTTTTAGTGAAACAATATAATTGGATAGCCATTTATCGCTCAGACTCTGGCGCGCTGCTGTGTGTGTGGTTATTGAGCTAACTGTCTCAGCTGGGTTTGGTCACAGGTGACATTTGTCTGTCATCTGTTGCATCACCTGTAAGGCATAGGAAATCAGGATTCCGTCGACTTTACAAAAACACATGGCATGTTCACTGTATATGAAATATACCTCCTGTATTTAATGATTTCTCTTAGGATAGGAAAGTATACATACTGTACTCAGTTTTCTGTTTTATTTTACTTGCCATGCAGATTTAAACAGAATGGATATCTTATTCATACAAATTATAAATGAAAAACTTGTGAGAATATTCATTAGTTGAAGTTTCTGAGCAACATCATATATATATTTTTAAACTTGATTCAGATGTCTTAGTCCTTGAGTCAGCCTTAGATTGCTTATTTTGCTCCTTTGTTAAAAACTGTAGGGGATTAAAAGAATTGACTTTTTTTTAAATGGAAGGTGGGTGGTGCATAGGAGAATGTACTTCTGAAAATGTCATGAGTTTATTTCTGCAGAAAATACTAAGAAAACCTGTGTGCCCATTGCTAAATAAGTTACATACCATTTTATATTTATTTGTCCCAACTGTCTTTTGTAAGAGGAGAATAAACAATAAAGAATTATTGATGTTTTGCTATTTCATTTACTTCAGTTTTTCTTGAAACTTAATTAAAAGAATGGTTCGGAATACCTTTCTTGTTTGTGATTTATGTTTTGAATTTGGTCAACGCTGTGGCCTGAATCCCCAGACAGATTGTAAATGAAAATCTAACAGATAGTTCTGAATATATTCCCGGTTTAGCCTTTAAAGGGACTCTTCTTCCTCTTCTTCTGTCCCCCAGCAGTCTGTGGGTGTTGCAACTGGCCGGTTTTTCCTGTGTTGGGTTAATGTTTTCTGTTTCAGAAAATGTAAATACCTGCTATATGTATCATTCCACTTAGCTCTGAGTACTGGATCCCCTGCGTGCTGCAGGGATCACAGTAATGAAGAGATGTAGTTCGTGTCTTCATGGGGTTAAAGTCCAGCAGAGGAGACAAAGTACAAATAATTACAAATGTTAGTAAGTGCAGCGGTGGAAACAGCACTGATTTAAGAGAGTAACAAAATCACCTTTAGTAGAGGTTCTACTTCTGAAGAGAATGTGGAAAGCCTCAAGAGAATGTCACTCCTAATGTAGAATAAAGAGAAAAGGCTGGGTGATCTACAGAATTATAGCTTGCTTGCTTGCTTTTCTTTTTTCGAGTGTATCAGAGAGTGAAGCTTGGGAGACAGAACTGAACCCTAAAGAGTGAGGAGCCTTTGGACAAGAGATAAGACGTACTAGTTGCTTCGTCTCAGAAAGAATTCGAGACAGGTGGCTACTCTACACGCAAGTGAGAAGAAGTCCAGCTAAAATTTTAATGCTTTTAAAAGGCTGAGTGTGAGCTAGCACATTAGTGTGGAGGAGCTGAGTGTCTCAAATAAGAGGACTTGAAACGCAAGGTCTCTACAGCAGGTGCTCTAAGATGTGCTGGGGCGGGACAGGGAAGCCAGCTCAGGCAGAAGGGACCTAGGAAGCAGAGGTGTGCAACCCGGCCCGCTTCCCCCAGACCCTTCCCTTGAAGGATGCAAAAGTCTTAGGCTGCTGAAGGGAGGAGCAACAAATCATATCAGCCAGGCCCAGGCCAGACCCTTGATTTCTCAGAAGGGATAAAGGCAAAACCCTCTGCCTGGCCAGGGAGGGGGTGGTGGTCTGAAAAGCTCTGCATTGGACACAAACAAACAGCAGTTACTGCGAGGGGAGTCCAAGCAAATACCCCTGACCTGGGGGCTGGGGCAGAAAGTCCTGGGCCCAGGGCCCTGCAGGGGTAGCAGAACAGGCATGCTCCCTCCGGGGGACGCGGCAAATGTGGATTTTGCCGCCACAGGGAACTGAGGCAGGAATTTACCCGAGTGTAACAAGTGGGTAAGGGGCGTTTGCTTTTCAAGTTCAGAGGTGTAAACGAAATTACGAAGCAAAGCATGTCTGAATGCCCATGAAGATGAAATCACGTAGGGGTGTAATTATTACACGACCATTTGACTGATTTGAAAAGGGCCCTGTGCAAACTTTGCTGGGTGGATGTGTAATAATTCCTAACAGGGCCTAAGTTCTCGGTGTGGACATCGATAAGGAATCTATGTACCAGTAACGACTCCTGGTGATTAACGGCACAGATTCATAACCAGAGCCACGAAGCCATTGCCACCAAACACGTCTCACAGTCAGCTTCTCAGGGAAGAGGCACTGGAGCTCCCGCCACCTGAACCCACCTTTATAAAGGAATTCCGGGAATCGTCTTTCAACCAATGGGCTGAGACCTGCCCTGCCCAATCGAAACTGTGAAGCTCCATCTTCATTTGCATTTCTACTGACCAATTAGAGCAGCTGCAGCTCCATAACTAGCCAATCAGATTGCAAATTTGGATTCCTCATTTGCATAAAAACGGACCAATCAGGGATCAGGGCGGGAACTTTATAAAAGCTGGCCTCCCTTTTGTGTAGGAGCGCACTTTGGGTTTCCACTCGAGTCCGTGTCTTTTGGGCTAGCAAACTTGACCTGCATAATCAGTCTCTTTTACCCCACCTCTGACTGGGGACTCCCCTTGGCATTGGATTGGGGACAGCGACCTTTTGTTGACATTGGTAACCTAACCTATACATTATGCCCATTGGGTGTCCGTGTGTGAGGGAGGCGGCGGGAGTGGGGGTGGGGGGAGACGCGCGGACGCTCCGGGGAAGCTGTCCGTGGGTTTGTTTTTCCGAGCGATTTGACCTGGAAGTTGGCTTTGCTGGCCCTACCCAGCGAGCAGCCTACCCAGTGAGCCTCCGCCCTGCGGATTAGGGGTCCTCTGGGACGGCCTCATCAGCACTGGGGTCCAGTGCGGCGTCGGGGAAAGGAACCCGCCACCCAGCGTCCCTTCCCCAGCCCCTCACCCAAGTCCCACCTGGTCCCCAAGGTTTTGGCCAGATCACGCTCTCGGTGCGCGTCCGCGGGAAGCAGCGCCTTTCCTGCTCACGTTGCCTGCCACCAAGCTCGGGTAGACGGCACCGCCCCCAGGTGGCCTCCCGATCCCCAGCAGCGTGCGCGACCCCGCTCACGGGGCCCCGGCTTCGCTCGCTGGCGACGCCGAGGGAGTGCGGCGGACTCCGAGGCGGCGACGCCACTCTCCCAGCCCGTCCGGGCGCCCTCGTCCGAAAGCAGCCGGCCAGGGGGGCGGGGCGGGGGTGGGCGCCTGCGCTGGCCGCGGCCAGGTGGGCGGGCACCTGGGCGGGGCGCGCACCCGGAAGGGCCGCGGGCCGAGCGGCGCAACAGGCGGCGGCCGGCGAGGGGCTGCGGCGGCGGCGCGCACCGGCCCGGGATGGACAAGCTGAAGAAGGTGCTGAGCGGCCAGGACACCGAGGACCGGGGCGGCCTGGCCGAGGTGAGTGCCCCCCGCGCGGCCGTGGCGCGGGCTCGCGGGGGCCTGGCGGGCGCGGGGCTGCTGGCTGTGGGAAGGAGCTGGACTTCCAGGGTTTCCTGGGAAGCAGCTCTGCTCTTCCCCCCTACCCCCACCACCATTTCCCATCCCCCGCGCGGAGCGCCCCCGCTCCCCTCTTTGCCGGCGCTCCCCCGGGGCCGCCTGGGCTCTGGGCTCCGGCTGTCGGCGTCTGTTTACTTCAGTCCCGCGCCCCATCCCCCAACCCCCGCTCGGGGAAGGGCCGCGCGGAGGCGAAACCCAGACACCCGGCAGGGGGAGGACGCATCCGGGGGAGGGGCCACCTCGCTGGCCCCGGCCCGGGGTCTTTTGAGCTCCGCGCGGTCGTCCGGGGCCGCGCCCGGGGCTCGGGGCCGCCTTCCCGCCGGGTGGAGGTTGTGGGTGTGAGACTCACACCCGGCCCCAGCTCCTCTCGGTGTTGTGTAAGGTGTCTCCGCGAAACCCTGGACGCCCGAGGGCGGGGCCGCATCCGGTTTCTCGGCGTGCACGAGAGCTCCGCGGACTCCCCGGGCTGTCTCTTCGCCTGCTGTTCGATTAGACAGGTGTTTGGTCGAGTGGAAACCTGGGCACTGATGCCCCAGGGTGTAGAGCCCCACAGAACGTCTGCTTCCTCTTTGGGCGCTTTTTGCTTTAGTTTTTGTTTTCCTTTCTGGATAACAAATGAACAACATCTCTTTACTCTTGGCATGTATCTCGTGTGCCTCAGTTTCCCCATCTTTCAACTGAAAACCTACTATTGCTCTCAGTTTGGTCAGCGTCCCCCGTGGTTTTCTCCCACGCTCCTGTCACCCACCTTGGGGTTGCTGATGTCACTGAGTTTTGTGTGATGCGGGTTCCTCCACCCATCTGCAGTCTCAGCCTGCCAGCCTCACCTGGAAGTTAACACTGTAGGAATTGAGTGTGGTAGGAACTGAGATTTGCCTTTTTTTTTTTTATTTTACTTTAATTTAATTTTTATATTTTATTGCCATTTCGGAACACCTCTATGGGTTCTTTTCCATTCCTTGCCTTTGTTAATTGGTCAGGGCTCAGTGGTACTTTCCCGAGGTCTGTGTCCTGCATTTCTGACTTCCGTTGGGAACCCTCAAGTGAAACCTCAGATGGGGCGAAGAAAACTCAGGCAGCAGCAGTCCTGCGCATCCAGAGAGAGCTCTGTACCCTGCACCCCATCAGCGGGCTTTTATGAGCCTCAGGCTTCCCTAGTGGGACATCTTCTGTCCCCGAAGACGCTTGCGGGGGAGCGTGGACAGCAGGTGATGCCGATGTTGTGTGTTCACAAGTGATCCTGAAGCGGTGGGCAGACCCGGAGGGGACGACACTGAGTTTGTTTTTGCCTGAGCGGTGCTGCTGCGGTGGGCACGGTGCAGGGCTTCAGGGCGTCGGAAGTCCAGGCGCGTGTGAAGTCCGGCCCGAAAAGAGGAGGTGCTCCCCTCTCGTTCTGAAACTCCGCTCCCGGGTTCCTCTCTCCCAGCGCGCAATCCTGTTCACACGGCCGCTGACCCGCAGGTCCCGAGTCCGAGCTCCTGGGACGCAGCTCTGAGCCGGCAGAGTTCCTCGTCGGGGTTATATTTGGCTTCGTTCTTATGTGTTAGGTCAGGGCCAGCTGTGAAATGCGGGTCCTGCTTGGTGGGCTGACGCTTCCCGCTCCCTGAGGTTTCACGGCTGGTGGAACTGCGGGATTCGGGGCGGGGGGGAGTTTCCATCTGACGTGGCTCATTGGACAGGTGGCTTTACAGTGTCGGTGAATTCAGTGCCGTGTAAGCTGTCAGAAGTCACCAGAAGCGAGTACTTTTAAAACTTTTCTCCGTTTAATGCAAACAGCGGAAGGATGAGTGGTTCTGTTTGTCCTGCGTAGGGAACCGACCAGGTGATGATAAAAATTCCGTGGCCGTGGGTAACACAGGTAGCCTCACGATGAGTTTTCCAGTCCTTCATCTTCACCACTGCCCCTTCGGTCTGCAGGGTCCTCGGACTTCTTTCTGCAAGGGCGGGTTTTCTGTGTCTACAGAGGCCTGCCGGGGTGAGGAAGGTGCGGGTGGTCCCTGGCTGCGCAGCGCAGGAAGGGGGCAGTGTTCCTTTCTCAGCTTCTCCTCGTCACCTGCTGTTCCCCGAACAGTTCTTAAGCTTTCCTTTTTTTTTGGCAAGAGCCCCTCTCCTGCCCACAGCCGGAGTCAAAGGGACCTTTGTGCGCCACTGCCGGTCAGACAGCGCGTGAGCACGTCACCCCCAGGTTCTGCCCGGCATACTGTTCCAGCGCCTCTGGTTTCCAAAACGTGTGACACGTGTTTGGTTTTCCCTGAGTCCGGTTAGAAGAAGGGGAACAGCAGCTTCCCCTGCCTGCAGCCAAGAACTGGCAGCCACCGCGGAGCGGGACGACAGTGGTGCCAAGTCAGCCCCCTCCCCACGCCCCGCCCCCCGCCCCCCGCCCCCGTTTGGCTGACCAGGGCGACACCGGGGTGGAATTCAGCCCGAGGGGCTTGCAGGCCAGCACGTCACTCTCCCCCTGAAGGCAGAAAGCAGACCGCTTCCCGTGGCCGGCGAGTTGGATCTTTGCGAGGGCTGGAACCTCACCGCCCTGCTCTTGGGACTGTGTGGCCCCCTCAAGGCCATCGTCAGTTCGAGTTTGATACTTTGCTTTGTGGTTTATGCTCTTGAAGGAAAATTAAAAGAGGTTGAATCGTTAAAAATGTGCCTGTTGGCGCCCAGCGGTGCTCAGGTAGCAGATCCCGCCCAACCCTGTACGCGTTTCTCCCTGCATGCAGCCCGGTGTGTTCTTCCGCCTCGGCAAGGTAAGTCCCCCGGTCCCCGCGTGAGCAGGAGGAGCTGTGGCTTTTGGTTTGGCTCTGTTCTTGGGGGGAGGCCAAACAGGCCCGGCAGCGGGGGCCCGGCCTGGTGGGGTGGGCGGGCGCCAGGCAGCCGATGACAGAGCCTCGCCGGCTCGCTTTGGAGGCGAGGTTTCCTGCCATGGCCCCGGTGGCCCGTGTCGCTGGTACTAACGCCCCGTCCCCGCTGCATGTCACCAGCCCCCAGTGTGCCTTTCCGTGCAGGGTCCTGTGTTGCCACATGATCTTGCGGGTGCTGTGTGTGTGTGTGTGTGTGTGTGTGTGTGTCGGGGGGGTATTGCAGTGTCATGAGCCCAGTTTCAATACGTGTGAATATATGGGGGGTGGGGAGAACCCCGTTTGATAACCTGCCCGAAATGCCTTTCTCCTGGGTGGAGGTGAAGCCATCCTGTAGCAATGCCTGCCACACCTGGGGGAGCCCCTGGTCCTTCCCTTCGAGCTTCTGGTTTGACAGGGTGTCTGGGGACAGGTCCTCCTTGGAAAACAAGTCCTGAGCTGGGAGCCCTCAGGGCTGAGGGAGTTGCCAGTCTGGGGACCCCAGCAGCCTCTGCCACCACCTGCCGTCCTCCATCAGCCGCTGGGAATGTGCTCGACGGCGTTCACCACATTGCCAGGTGGCCACGTGCGTGCCCCTGTGTGAAGGGACCCCGGCCTGGCCGCCCGCCTCGGCTGTGCAGGGAGGCCCTCGGTCTCGGCGGCAGCCGCCTGTGCCCAGCTGGAGCAGCCGTGGCTCCTTGCCTCGGGGACAGACTGGGCAGGTCTCTGGTGCACACACTTGGGTGTAGTCTTCGACGTGGGGAGAAGCCGTGGGGGCTACTCACCGGCTCTCCTGCTTTAGCAGAGTTTTTCTGGAAACTTGGCGGCCTCTGAACTTTGCCCTTGGGAGAGGGTAGTCTTGGTGGCAGAGCGTCGGGATGAGCAGGGTGGTAACTCATTAACTGGGACCGGCCTCACACTCACGTGGCCTGGCTGCCGCCCGCCCCGAAGAGCAGCGCTACGACAGTGAAGGGCTGCACGCGTGACCTGAGGAGGGCCAGAGCCCGAGCCTCCCCCACCCCGGCCCCGGGTCTCAGGCAGCAGCAGCTGCTGCAGTGTGGCCAGTGGGTGTAGGGGACCGTGCTCAGGGGCACAGCCCCATCTGCGGAGCCCGCGCCGGGCGGAGCTCACGCCTTGCCCGCGGTGGGCCTGGTCCGGCCTGGGCTGCTGTGAGGCGGGGCTGCTTGCGGTCTGTGGAGTGGGTGGGCCTGAGGCAGGCTGTCCACTGCGGGAAGTGTTAGCGGCGCAGGACAGCAGACCCGCGGGTGCAGAAGGCACCGGGCGCTGTGCGTGACTCGGGGGCTCTCAGAGCTCCGAGTGTGCGGGACTCTGTGCTCCCGCCCTCCTCAGAACAAAGTCACGCCGCTCCCGACCTCCTGACCACAGCCCTGTGCGCCCTTCGTCCCGGGGGAGGTCTGCAACCTGTGTTCCACACCTCCAGGTGACTGACACGTCTTCCTTGAGCTGGGACACCAGAATCAAAGGCTTCGCGGCGTGTTTTGTCACGGGGATTCTCTGCTCGCTGCTGGTAAGGCTTCCCTCCCCTCCTCCGTCTTTCCCCTGTCACCCGCCTCCTCCCCCTGTCGCTCTTCGTGGGTAAAAGGGGAGCGGGAGGCGGGGAGAGCAGGAGAGGAGGGGGGTGGGTGTCTGTGCGTGTGTCCCTGGTGGTGTGGCCGGGGGAGGACACCCTCTGCCCTCTCTTGCAGGGCACTTTCCTGCTCTGGGTGCCGAGGAAGGGGCTGTACCTGTTCGCAGTGTTCTACACCTTTGGCAACATCGCATCGATCGGGAGGTAACAGTTTTCAATCCACCCTTGGCCAGTTATTACAGGGGGAGGTGGACTGTGGTTGGGGGGTGGGAAGGAGGGGGCCTCTGTAGCTTTAAGGCTTTGGAGAGAAAAGGGCAGTCAGAATGCATCCCGTCCCCGTCCTGTCACCACCCGATGTGTTTATACCCGAAACGCCCCAGGAGACGGCGGGCGGCGTCCCACCCCTGCGGGGTCCACGGGAGGGCGCCGCGGCCCAGAGCAGTGGAGCGCCACAGCCCTCCTGCCTGCTCTGCGCGTCCCGCTCCTGGAGGCTGAGCCCAGGCTTTCAGGAGCCTCACTGGGCCGGCGGCTGCAGGCAAAACCTATCATTATTCAGCGCAAGACCAGGGCAGACCTGCTCCCCGGGGCAGGGTGCCAGCCCGCCCACCCACCTGCCCGCCCCCTGGGCTGCTGGCGGCACAGACGTCCCAGGCCGAGCTCATGCACTCTGACCCTTCAGCCGCGCCCGCGTGCTGACGCCGCCGGTCCCGAGGCCTGGTGTTGCCTGGTGTTGTCCCTCCCGTGAGGAGCCTTGATCATACCCTGCTGGTCTCTGAGCATTCAGAGACCAGTGTGGTCGGGTTCCTGCCACGAGGGGGCTCACGGGGCAGCCAGGCAGCCAGGCGCAACCTGACGGCAGAGCAGGATGTGGAGGGAGAGGTGCGCAGGGAGGGGCAGCTGGCCTGGGCCGACCCGGCCTGGGACCAGGGGGGCTCCCTAAAGCGGGCGGCGTGGGAGCTGCTCTCAGCTCGGCCCATGGTGTCCTCATCGGAACTGCTGCAGGGGTCCACGACCACGTCCTTTGTCTCCTCCGCTGCCCCCTACTGGCCGTTCATTACTGTCCCTGCTGAGCTCCTGGTCCCTCCAGGCCTGAGACCTGCCTTTGCCCCTCCCACTCGTCGAGTGCTGAACCCTCTGCCTGCCCAGACACCCTTGTGCCTCTGCCCAGGCCTCATTCTCGTGTGGAACGTGACCCCAGCGTTACCTGCTGGTTGGCTTGTATTAGACCCCGGTTATAAGAGGCAGCTTCTCAGCTGATTCTGCGTGAGGCCTTCTGTGATGAGTCAGGAAATGCCAGGGGCTGGCCCTGGCCCTGGCGCGGTGGGCGTGAGGCCCTGCTCTGTCTCCCCTGCCCCCGCTCAGGTCCCACTCACACAGCAGGCACCCCAGGGAGGGCTTTCGGAGCTTTGGAACCTCGCAGTTGCAGGTTTGCATGCCAGCTGCTTAAGCTCTCTGCTGCGTGGTCCTGGATACATCAGTTAGCCGTCTCGGCCTCATTTTTTCATCTGCAAAATAAGTGTCATAGCAGCCACCTCAGAGTAGTGGAGGGACGAAATGAGGTCACGTCTGTGGCGTTGAGCAGACTCCCAGCAGTTCCGAGCGGATGTCACCATGACTAGAAGTATCCTGTGGAGATGGTGAAGGGAAATGAGATGCTCAGCTTTTTAACATACAGGACCTAAGCCTGTGAGGTGTGGCTTTCTTTTTTTAAGTCGCCCGAGTCTGGTTGGTTGGTTGGTTGGTTGGTTGGTTTCCATGGGGAGGGAGGGAGGGAGGGAGGGAGGGAGGTGGCACCTCCGGAGAAGGTGGCGGATGTGGCCCTAGAACCAGACCTGACGCACATGCAGCCTCGCGCCCCCGCCTGCTCGTCGGGCGGCCTGGATGGCAGCCCGCCCTCCGGGCTGCGGTCTCCCCGTCCGCGAGACGCGGGCGGTGCGAGCTCCTGCGGCCGGCCCCGGGCGTGTTGACGGGGAAGCGAGAACGACGCACCAGGGCCTTCAGCGCAGCGCCCGGCAGAGCGAGAGTCTCCCGGCCGCGAGCCGGTCACGCAGGGGGTGGGGGGCCGCTTGCGCCCCGAGTGGCCTGCCCGGCCTCATGGCTGGCGCGTGTCTCCCCGCAGCACGGTCTTCCTCATGGGGCCGATGAAGCAGCTGAAGCGGATGTTCGAGCCCACGCGTCTGGTCGCGACCATCATGGTGCTGGTGAGTCTGCCTGCCTGCGGCGGCGCTCCTAGGGCGGGACTTCCTGGGGCGGGACTTCTGGGGCTGCTCCGGGGCGTCGTTTCTTCTCAGACCCGGCTCCTTTCATCTCGGCTCCTGCCGAAGCCCTGGGAGTGGGCTTCCAACAGTGACCCCCCACGTTGGGTTTCCACTGGGGGTGAGGTACTGCCAGTTCTGTAAAGCGCCTCCAGAGGGCGCTGCTTGTCTGATCAGCCACAGTGATGGGGCGGTAAGTCAGCCGGACGCGCTCCAGGTGATGGGCGGAGCCACGTGGACACAACTTAGGGGCAATAACACAGAGGCACCGGGCTCATTCTCTGAAGGGGGGCTCTCGCCCCTCTCCATCCTGTGACTTTGGGGTCACACCTGTTCTCACCCGTGTTCCTCGTGGCCCACTGCCCCCATGCCCTGCTCTGGTGATCGTGCCTTCCGTCGTATCCCACCTCCCTGTCCCGCCGACCCCAAGTGCCTGTCCTTCCTCTGGGCTGTTCGCTACCACGTGACCATCAGAGGCATTCCCCACCGCAGTCTCCAGCATTTTTCACTTAATTACCGGTGTTGCAGCATTTGGAACGTGGGCAGCATGCTTTTTACTTTCGTTCGTGTACCTCTCATGTGGCCAAACAGGTGAGCTTTCTAAGGCTCTATCCACATGTGCTGTTCATCTTGTGTCCTTGAGAACCTCGTGCTCCGAGCCGAGCTCGGAGGAAATACTTGGGACACGTTCCTGGCGGAGGTGCTGTCCAGGGCGGGTGGAGACGACAGGCCTGACGGACGCCCGAGAGCCTGCTGTTCTTGGTCCGTCGCGCGCGGGCACGGCCCGGACGGCGCCGTGTAGAAAGGGCTCTCTAAGAAAGGACCCAGGGGAGTGTTGGGTGACAGGGAAACCGATCCCTCCCCCTCGGGGTGTGAGAGTGGCGTCTCATGTGCCCCTCTGTCCTCCTGCGGCTCCTCCCACCCGGAAGCCCGGTGCTGGGCAGGAGTCAGGGCACAGGCGCGTGTGAAACCCGAGTGAGACTGTGCACCGGGCAGAAAGACCGGTGCCCGGGGTGGGCCAGAAAGGGGACTTTGTTTGCCGGGTAGAGATTTTGGGAAAATTCACAAGTAGAAGAGGATCCTTCTCTTTTAACCCTACTCGAGTTCTTATTGGCCAGTTCAGTTTCACTGCGACTAACTCTCCTGCCAAACACGGGCGCGCTCACTCAGGTGGGCGAAGTGCTCTGCAATGGGGGGGCCTTTGGCAGCTGTGGCTGCCAAGGGATCTGCTTACTGCGGCTTGATAAGCGTTGGTGTGAGTTCGCCAGCAACGATAAGTCCTTACGGGTTTTCCCACGCTGCTGTCGTCACTGTGTTCACTCAGCGATGTCTCCTTTCTCTCTGCAGTTGTGTTTTGCGCTCACCCTGTGTTCTGCCTTCTGGGTAAGTTGGGCTCTGGGTCTTCCTCCGCCTCGCTGGTCCCCGCGCCGGCCGCCGGCGTTCACGGCGCCCTGTCGTTTCTCTTTCAGTGGCACAACAAGGGGCTTGCCCTCATCTTCTGCATTCTGCAGTCTTTGGCCCTGACGTGGTAAGTGTCCCTTTCTGCCTGACCTCTGACCGCTGCATGGACGGTGGTAAAACCCCGGGGGCTGCGGGGAGGGGTCGGGAAGCACAGACCCTGTTCAGTGGAAGGATGCTCAGTGATGCTGCGAAGTCGGGCTGCAGAGCAAAGCCTGTCGACTCGGCCCACTGCCAGTAGGTGGCGCAAGGGGCCGTGGCGGCTGTGGCCCACTGCAGCATTCTCGCCGGGCTCACGGTTGATTCTGAGATGTTACCAGTGCTACTGAACCACTCGCATCCAGTAAGAGCAAGGGTAACGAAGTCTACAGGGGCAGGTGAAAGGAGGCTGTGGGCCAGAAGGCCGTCCAAGAGGAAGGGGAGTGGGCAGGAAAAGAAAGAGCGGTGCATTTGGGCTGGAGGAACCCTTACCAGAGGAACAAAGGGGCACTGTTGGCAGGAGGCGAGGAGACCGGAAACCACGTGGCTGGAGGGTCGGCCTCTGCGCCGGAGGCCTGTTGGCAGGACTGGGGACTGCCTGCCACTCGAGGGCCGCGGGAGGTGAAAGGGCTTCATTGTTTGACGCTGCGGGTGGGGCTGCGGGATCTCAGCCCTTCCAAACTGGTCCAACTTCAGTGGGAGGGTGGGGGTGGCACCCCCCACACACACCCTCTGGAATCTGTAGCTTCTGAGCCCTGTCTGTAATACTGGGTTGGTCAAAAAGTCCGTTAGTTTTTTTCCCTAAAATAAAAAACACGTTTTTAAAAAATATTTTATTTACTTATGTTTAGAGAGGGAAGGGAAGAAGAAAGGGAGAGAAACATCAGTGTCTGGTTTCCTCTCATGCTACCCCCTACTGGGGGTCTGACCTGCAACCCAGGCATGTGCCCTGGCTGGGAATCGAATCAGTGACCCTTTGGTTCACAGCCCGCACTCAATCCACTGAGCTACACCAGCCAGGGTAGACTTTTTAAGTGCCCAAGGATCAGTTACACCCCTCCGCTGGGAATGGATGTGGAGACTGCGGGCTTAGCACCCCCCTCCCGTTGGCAGTTTGGGACTGTTGAATAGCTGTGCTTTCTCAGTGTTGGCCTTTGGGGGTTGGCTGTGCTCACGGGCGGGTGAGCCTGGCGAGTGTCGGTGGGGAGGAGGGGGCTGGCCAGAGTTTAACGTGGCACACGTCGTGGGGGCAGGGGCTGCGAGAGCCCGGTGTGGCTGCCTGTGTGTGTGTGTTCATTTCCTGGGGGCAGAAGTTTGTGTCCACACACTCATGCCTGCCTTTGCTTGTGTGGCCGTCCCCCCACCATAGGGACCTGATCCAAGACCCCTGGATGCCTGAAACCACCCCGCTTGACGCCCCCAGGCTGTTCCCGAGGGTGGTGGGCGGCCTCCTCCCTGCACGGCTCCCGCCGGGGCCGCCGAGAGAGCTTGGGACCGGGGTTCCTGAAGAGTCGGAGCTTGCCTGTGCCGTCATCCACAGAGTGGGGACTGGGGTTTTATGGTTTTGGGTTTTTTAAAAAACGAGCCGGAGCAGAGCAGACAGTTTATCCCAGTGGGGGGAAGCCGCGTCCTGCCGAGGGCCGGAAATGCCAGAGGACAGCTGGCCCGGGGCCGTTGGCTGTGCTCTCCAGGGCACGGCGGCGTCTGCGCCGACCTGCCCGTTCCAGGTGATCCTCCTCGGCCACGGCTGACACCCTCCCCTCCCCCTCCCCAGGGCCCGTGGCACTGTGCACTTGTGTGTGCACGTGTGTGTGCACATGTGTGCGCGTCCTGCCCCAAGGGGCCAGGGCCCCGGAAGTCACTGCGGACGCTCTGGCGGCTTGGACACCCATTCCGCCACGCCCTTCCGTGCCCTCCGTGTAATCTGATCTGTTGTGTGTGTTTCTCCTTGTAGGTACAGCCTTTCCTTCATACCGTTTGCGAGGTAAGACCGGCCGCATGTGGGGCTGTGGTGTCTGTCGCTTGGGGGTGGCGCCGTGCCTGCTGAGGGCCTGTGCGTGTGGAGTGCTTGCAGAACTGCCCACTGTTTCACCGTGGCTGCGGTCCTTTGAGACAGACAGGCAGGTGTCATGCACCTGATTAGTAAGCTGCGGTCACCTCCCCCACCCCCCCATTTCCCACTCCCCGCCCCATCACACACCAGTGACGGGCGCTGACCCGGGCCCACGCGGTCCTGCTGCCGGCAGCCTTCGGCCGGGCCCTGCAGTGCGCAGACGCGAGTTCCCGCTCCTCTGACCTGCAGCCTGGAGGGGGTCTCCTCAGAGGCAGGGTCCCTTCAGCATCACTGAGCTCGAGGTGGAGGGATCCCAGCCCGAGCTTGCCCAGCAGCACCCGCGGGTGGGAGTGGGTTATGAAGGGAAGCAGGCAGGGCCAGGGTCTCCCAGTGAGCTGAGCGGTGACCTTGGTTGGGCGGCGCACCGGGCCCCTCTGGCGCAGAGGCCTTGCTGACAGCCACCGTGGGCCACCCCCCCCAGCCCCAAGGTTCTGACCCTGCAGCTCCCCTGCAGTGAGCATGTTTGGTGATCTTCACCTCTGACTCTGCTCTGACGTCACCGTTTCATTTCCGTTCTTGTTAACACGGAGGAAGCTTCTCCTGAACGGTGTTGAGAGTGTGGAAACCGGTGCGAGGGCTGAGGAGGAGGAGGAGCAGGGGCAGGGTTGGGAGGTGCTGGGGGTGATCGGCTGCATGGGAACTTGAAAAAGCCCATCGCGTTCACAGCCGCTGAGTGGCTTTGCGAATGGGCCGTCGCTGTCAGACCCCCTGACGGGCGCTGTGTGCTGGGGGCGTTCAGGAGGGATCCCCTGTGGCCATAAAACCCTTTCCCGCTCAGAACGCCTCCCGGGAGGGACCACGGGGTGGATCGCACCTGAAGAAACGTTCTAGAATCACCTTGGTGTGAAAGCACAGCACAGTGCCTGCTCCTGCGGGTGCATTCCCCTGCGGCCCCCTCAGGTGACCCCCATGCCCTCTGCACGGGGCAGCGGGCAGCAGAGCTGGGGTGAGGGCCCTGCCCCGTGCTGCCTGAGGGGAGCAGCGGTTCGCAGAGCGCCCGGCCTCCCTGTGCCTGCTCCCCGCTCCCCGCTGATTCCCAGGAGCAAGTGCCTGGGCGGGGCTACGGGCCCCTGGGTCTCTGAGCTGTAGCTCGGTCCCCTGCCCGGGAGCTCCTGGGAGGCGTCCCTTGGCACGCGTCGGCTGCTGGCTGCTGGCTGACGGAAAATCCCCAGGCGACCGTCCACTTAACACCTTGAGTGCGGTCTGTGCGTCTGTGGTTCCGGTCGCTAGAAAGTGCGCCGTCTTGGCCCACTTCCTGGTGTCTGGGGGTCTCTACTTTGACTTCTAGTGATCACCTACTTTGTGCTGTGCACTTGTCCCCACCACTGGCTTTTTGGGGGGGCGGGGACACGCCCTTGTACACGTGAGACACTGGCCACTCAGACGAGACAGGTGACCAGCCCCACAGGCGGGGTGCTGTCTGGTCTGCAGCGTGCCCCTTTGGGTGCCGGGAAATCTGCAGGGGGGTCTGTCTCGACCGCTTCAGGAGCCTGGGGTGACGGTCTCCTGTTTCCCTTGTGTTTTCCTCCTAGGGACGCTGTGAAGAAGTGTTTCGCTGCGTGTCTTACCTAGCACGTGGCCAACGTTGCGAAGCTTTGGGAGGCGCTGTGGACGGAAGCCGGCGGACACTTTTGTAAATACCTTCTGGCCCTTTTGCTCAGATCTGTGCCTTTCCCGTGGCCGCAGCGGGTCCAGTGACCCGAGCATTTGCTTCTGGAGGCGGCAGCGGGTCCCCAATCCCAGATGTCTTGTAGCACAGTAGGAGGGCGGGCTCTGCGTCCTCTGGAGAGGCATCGGCCTCGTCCCCCCTTTCCTCGTTGGGTGTGGTTCCCCGAATTCTCATAAATAAAAACCGAACTGAGCAGCAGACAAGACTTGGGAGCCAGGGGTGGTCAGGTGGTGACAGGCAGCCCCGTCGGGAACGGCAGGGGTGCAGCAGCAAGGGACGGCGTTTGGGGCCCCCAGGGACTTCGTAGACTTGCCCCTCAGCTTGGAGACCATTGCCCGCGCCCCATGCGGCGTGGACACGCTGTTCCCTGGGTCTGGGGCCGGGGACTCGGCCCTCCCGATGGCCGCGCCAGCCCGCAGAGCCGCCCGTCGGGGCCCAAATGGGCACTTGGTGATGAGAGGTGCTGTTGAGCCTGCACCTCGGCCCTTGCGGGTCCGCCCTGGCTGTGGGCTGGGTCTGGACGGCGGCGTGAGCTCTCTCTCTCTCGGGTGTTCTGTCCTATTTCCTCCTGATTTCTGGGAACCAGCTTGAGAGAACAAGGCAGCAGGGAGAATGCTGCTTTTCCTTTTGGGCAAGAGCTGGCCAGAGGTGACAGTTTTTGCTGTTCTCTGCTGTATTTTTTTCCCCTCATTGTTTATAAGTGGCCAGTCATGTTTCCCGTTCTTCGGGAGTGGGGCTGTGTCGGGAGGGAAGGCGGAGTCTGCTGCGGGGCCAGCAGGAGGCAGGCGCCCTGCCCCTCGACCTTTCAGTAGGCCCCAAGTTGGCACCCGAGCCCCTGCAGGACACGCTGGGAGAGATGACACTGGGCCGCAGAGCCACAGACAAAGGGCTTTTGTGTCCCCGAGCTTGTCCTCACGGGCCTCGTGCCGAAGCAGGGTTGTGTCTCTGTGCACGGGAGGAAATCGAGGCTCGGGAGGTTGCCGGATGTGCCCGAGGCCACGGTGGGTGGCGGAGCCGGGCCCAGGGCCTGGTGCCGGCTTCGGTCTCTCTCGTGGCCCCGTGGGTCCCGGTGTGGCTCCGGGGCGCCTGCTGGAGCTGGGTCCCTGCTTTCACCAGCCAGGCCTGCGACTCCTGGCCCCTGCAGTCTCCTGCCCTGTCTCCCAGGCTTGTGGCGTCCCCATGGTTCTCTGCATGCCATCGTAGCCCTTGCTGCCTGACCTCCAAGTGCCCTGTCTCGATGGCCAGAGCTCTGGGCTTGCAGCACCCCCAGAATCACCCTGCGAGTGAGGTCTCTGCGGTGCCTTTCCGTCCTTCACCGGCTCTGGCTGCCCCCCGGGCTCTTGCTCCGCGAGCCTCCACGCTGAAGGCAGCGGTGGTCTCCTTGCCTGTGGCCGCTGTGCTGGACTGACCCCCTGTGTGCGGAGCCTCAGACCGTCCAGCCTTCCCCTCTGACTCGGGAGGAGTGAGCAGGCCCGATGGGGCCCCCGCGAGAGGCCGGCCTGCCAGGCCCTTGCTGGGCTGCTGAGGGCGCCCCGCCTTCGGCCAGGGAGGGAAACAAAAGGCCACCCTCCCTCTGGCGTCTGGGGGTTCTTTCCCGTGCCGGTGTCTCTTGAAGATAGTGCAACTCCCCAGTGGGCTCCGAGCTGCCTTTTAGGATGTCGCCAGCGCGTACCGCACAGTGGCAGAGAGCGTGGGCTTGGGTGTCAAAGGTGGGTGTGAGTCGTGGCTCTGTCACGTACTAGTGTCAGGTTGGAGAAACTGCTTAACCTCTCTGGTCCTCAGATTGCTCATCTGGCTAAACACTCGCGGACAAGTCGGCCCTGCCGGTGGTTGGCAGGGCACAGGGGAGGTGCGTGCCGGGAGTTAGCGCACGGCCCAGCATGGGCGAGTGCAGTGCGTGTTGGTGATGTTAGTCAATCCGGGAATAGCTGGGGACCGTGGAAGGTGACGGTGAATTTGACCTCTGGCCATTGATTCACCCAGATGAGTCCCCTGCCGCTACACGTGTGGCGCTGCAGGTCCTGCCATGCGTGGTCTCACGCAGCGTTGGCAGTAACTCTGGCCGGGGGTCTTGGCCGTGGCTCCTCGTCTCCCTCCCCAGGCCGGCTGCCTCATCTCTGGGCAGGGCAAAACCATCCCCAGCGGAGTGGGGAGCTTCCATCGGTCGCTCCGGGGCAACCTGGTGGAGTAACTTACCTGTGCCCCACCTCCCACCGCAGGCCGCGTGCGCAGGGAGCGAGAACCCAGGGCGCAGAGGCATCCGAGGAGGGGGTTGTGGGGACTTCCCCTGGGAACCGGTGAGGGAGTGGGCTGCACCCTAGACAGAGGGGGGTGGGGCTGCTGGCTTGGTGACCAGTGTTGCTGCGTGAGCGACGAGACTTGGCGGAATGAGCCAGTCCCAGCCCTGCGGCTGGGGGTCCCTGTGGGGGGTGGGGGTGGGGGCGGGGTGCAGCCTGGGCCGGGCCCGCCTCTGTCCCTCGTGACCGCCGCCCGGGGTCGGCCTCGGGGCACAGACCCCTGCGCAGCACGGCCTGTCCCCAGGCTTCGCGCTCAGCAGGTCAGCAACAGCAGGAAGTCCGTGTTCAGGCCCTTAGAGCCGCTCTGCGAGGTGTGGGGTGCAGTTTATTTCAAAGTCTAAGATTTCCGATGTTTAAGATGCACAGTCGTTTCTTGGCAGGTAGCATGTTGTACGAAGCTCACACACCTCCAGCCGGGGTTCAAGGCGGACGTCTGTCTGTGTCGCTCAGTGAGTGTGCGGACTCGGCCGCTCCGGACGAGGAAAGGGACCCCGGAGTTCTGACTGGGGAGCTGGGGGCGGGACGCTCGGGAGCCCCTGGGGGACTTGGGTGCCTTCAGCACACTGTGCCTGTTCTACCCTGGCGAGCTTTTAAAACACTTTGTTACAACATGAGTCAATTTTTATAATTGTGTACAGTCAACAATTTTGAATGCTGCTGATTGCGTAACTGAATTTTTTCTATCCCAAAATATCTTCGTGCTACTTTGCCTGCCTTGAGACTATTTCATACAACAGATTGTGCTTTTCACTAGCTCATTTCAAAGAGAAAGAATATTGCCGGTAATGATGCTATTTTCCCCGGAAACATCACAAAACACTTGTTTTTGGTTTTTTTTTTTTGCTTTGCTTCCCCCCTTTAATAAATGACCGCATTACGATCTTTAATAAAGTCCGTGTCGTCTCTGACTCGTGTCTGTTTTTCTGGGGGCCGCCGCACCAAAGGCGCGGTGTGTGGCCGTGAGGGGAGCCTGCGTCCTCCGCGTGAGTCCTGGGCGGGCGGCGTTCCCTGGGGGCGCTCTCGGGGGTTTTCTGAGCTGCGTCCATGTGTGGTCGTCTCTTTCAGGCGACTTCGGGCCGGGTGTCAGGCTCACTTTCCCCGGGGCCACAGCAGCCTCGCGGTGGCCTTCAAAGGGCCGACTGTAATTTCAGCTCCTTAGCGGTTACGGAGTCGTCACGGTTATACAGTCCTGAAACCATCCTGGCCCTCGGAAGGCGGCCTGGAGGCTGGTGTGCCCCTGGGGTAAAAAGAGTCTGACACCCCTGATTTAGGCGTGAGTGAAAGGTGAGAAATTTCAAGTGTTTATCTTGGGACATTTCTTGCACACCTGGCTTGTTTGGCCACATTGTGTCAACTAGGAGTGTCGGGTTAATTAGCATGAAGTTGATAATTTTTTTAAAATACTTTTCATGTCTGTAGTATTCGTAGTTGCATTCCTCCCCTTATTGCAGATACTGGCTCTTTGGGCCTGTTCTCTTGATTTTGATCAGTCTAGCTTGAGGTCCATGCCTTTTGTCGAACGTTGCAAAGAAGACTCAGTTACAGAGATTCAAACGGATACTTAGCAAAGGAAGCTGCGTGAATGGCCAGCGGACACGTGTAATACTGCGGCTGTGTGAAGATTAAAACCAGGTAAAACTCCATTCTACAGTTAAAGGTACAGACTTAGGCGGTAAAACTATAATGACCTGCAAGTTACTTGCATAAAAGTTAGGACAGGACTGACATGGGGAGGGCGGGAGAGGCCGGCGGTTGGGAAGGGACAGGGTGTGCCCGAGGGCTCTGGGTGCCGGTCACGCCCCGTTTCTCCATCCAGTGACATTTACGGGCGTCCACTCCGATAAGTCCTCGCGCCGAGTGCTTTTTGTGCTGCGTGTACTTTTGTGATGGGCTATTTTGTAATAAAAATCCCCACTTTGGTGTCATGTATTTTAATTATTGGTTGTCTGTTCATTATTTAATTTTTTGTTTTATTGCCTTTATTGTTTATTTTCTTACACTTTGGGATTAACGCTAGTTTTCTAAGGGTGGGAGCTTAATTGTTTGTAGGTCTTCATATTTTCTGGTATCATGCTATAAGTTTTCCTCTAAGCACTGCCTTAGCTGCTTCTCACAAATTTTGATATGTTGTGTCTTCATTTTAATTCAGTTTCAAATGTTCTTATTTCCGTGTGATTTCTTCTTGGGCCCATTGATGCTTGGAAGTGAGTTGAAGTTTCAGACACCTGGGGGTTTTCCAGATGTGTGTCCGTGGTTGGCATTTTCATTCTGCTGCCGGTAGAGGGCGCCCTCTGACGACTGGGACCCTTTAAAATGCATCGGGCCTGTTCAACCGCCCAGCATGCACTCTGGCTTGGTGGGTGTTCCCTGCGCATTTGCAAGGAGCACGGGTTTAGCGGGTGGAGAGGTCTGTGAACGCCAGTTGGGTCCACTGTCTCTAGAGTTCAAGTCCTAACCTGATTCGGTCAACTTCTATAAATCGTTGGGGGAGAGAGGTGTTAATCATAATTTAGATTTCACTATCTTTTTCACCCAGTCAGTTTTTCTTAAATCTGTTTTAACGTTGTGAGCCATGAAACACATGCAGAGATACAATCGAAGACAGAACAGGAGCGGAGGCGCAGCCCAGCGAGGCACCGTGGCGTGAGGCCACAGCCAGCGCCCAGGGCGTGAAGCGGAGCGCTGCCCCCGTCGCCCCGTTCCCCGGCGCTCCACTCCCGCCCAGCGGTCACTTCCTGTGCCCCCTTCACAGAGGTCACTGCCGTCTGCGCTGTCCAGCGTCACTGCCTGGGCCTCCTTCGGAACGTCCTTCTTGGTCTTCTGCGAGTGAACCGACACGCAGCCCCGTACAGGTGGGAGGTGTGCAGTGTGATGACTTCATGTTTGTTGCAAAAGGATTAC